AGATAGATAGATAGATAGATAGATAGATAGATAGATAGATAGATAGATAGATAGATAGATAGATAGATAGATAGATAGATAGATAGATAGATGTCGTCGGGGGCTTCATGCCCTCAGTGGGGACCCAAGCAAACAGGTCCTAGGTGAGGGATCAGACAAAGTGCTCCTCAAAGACCTCTCATGATGAGTACCACAAATGGACTTAGAGTTCCCTCACCCGGACGTGGGTCACCGGGGCCCCACTCTGGAGCCAGGCCTGGAGGTGGGACACGTTGGCGAGCGCCTGGTGGCCGGTCTTTCACACATGGAGCCCGGTCGGGCACAGCCCAAAGAGGAGACATGGGTCCTCCTTCCCATGGGCTCACCACCTGTGGAAGGGGCCATAGGGGCCGGGTGCAATGTGTGTTGGGCAGTGGTCGAAGACAAGGACCTTCGTGGTCCGATCCTCAGCTACTGAAGCTGGCTCTTGGGACGTGGAATGTCGCCTCTCTGGTGGGGAAGGAGCCTGAGCTGGTGTGTGAGGTTGAGAGGTTCTGACTAGATATAGTTGGACTCACCTCGACGCACCGCTCTGGCTCTGGAACCAGTCTCCTCCAGAGGGGTTGGACACTCTTCCACTCTGGAGTTGCCCATGCTGAGGCGCGGAGCAGGAGTGGACATACTTATTGCCCCCCATCTTGGTGCCTGTACGTTGGGGTTCACCCCGGTGAATGTGAGGATAGCCTCCCTACGTGTAGGGACATTGAGTCCAAGTGGGTCGTGTTTCATACCTCCATTGTCGAGGCGTCTTACCTAAGCTGTGGCTGTAAGGTTGTCGGTGCCTGTCGTGGCAGCAACCCTGGAACCCGCTGGTGAGGGATGCTGTCAGGCTGAAGAAGGAGTCCTATCTGGTCATTTTGGCCTGTGGGACTCCGGAAGCAGCTTACAGGTATCGGCAGTCGAAGCAGATTGCGGCTCCAGTGGTCACTGAAGCAAAAACTCAAGCATGGGAGGAGTTCGGAGAGGCCATGGAAAAAGACTTCTGTACGGCTTCGAGGTGATTCCGATCCACTATACGGCAGCTCAGAGGGGGAAAGCAGTTCACCACCAACACTATTTATGGTGGGGATGGTGCACTGCTGACCTCAACTCGGGACATTGTGGGTCGGTGTGCAGAATACTTTGAAGACCTCCTCAATCCCACCGACACATCTTTTCCCACCAACACGTCTTCCCATGAGGAAGCAGAGCCTGAAGACCCTGGGTCGGACTCTCCAATCTCTGGTGCTGAGGTCACTGAGGAGGTTAAAAAGCTCCTCGGTGGCAGGGCGCCYGGGGTGGATCAGATTCACCTGGAGTTCCTTAAGGCTCTGGATGTTGTGGGGTTGTGTTGGTTGATGTGACTCTACAATGTTGCGTGGACATCTGGGGCAGTTCCCCTGGATTGGCAGACCGGGGTGGTGGTCCCCCTATTTAAAAACGGGGACTGCAGAGTGTGTTCCAACTATAGGGGGATCACACTTCTAAGCCTCCCTGGTAAGGCCTATTCAGGGGTCCTGGAGAGGAGGGTCCGTCGGATAGTTAAATCTTGGATTCAGGAYGAGCAGTGTGGTTTTGGTCCAGGTCGTGGAACAGTGGACCAGCTCTACACCCTCAGCAGGGTCCTGGAGGGTGCATGGGAGTTCAACCAGTCTACATGTGTTTTGTGGACCTGGAGAAGGGTTTGACCGTGTCCCTCTGGGACTCTTGTGAGGGGTACTCCAGGAGTATGGGGTACCAGGCCCGTTGATACGGGCTGTTAGGTCCCTGTAGAACCGGTGCCAGAGCTGGTGTGTATGTGTGTGTGTGTGTGTGTGTGTGTGTGTGTGTGTGTGTGTGTGTGTGTGTGTGTTTTCACACGTGATTGTTTTGATGGTCCTGTTGATTCAGTCAGTAATTCTCTCCTCTCCTATTTGTTCATAAAATGAGTAAAACGTGCTGAAATCATCCTTCATTGATGTTTCACAAATCTCACACTTAGTTTTAAATATTCGACCTTCAGTACAGAATAATCTAGTCCAGGTTTGAAGAGTAAACATGTTTTAGTTTTAAACTACAGCAGATGTTCAAGGTTGTATAAATATAGGTGTAATTACCTTTAAAACTTTAGGTTTTTTTTGTAAACTTCTGGCTTTACAATGTCAAAAAATATTTAGTTTAATTTCGAAATTGTCTTGCCTTTAATCATTAAAGTTTTGCTCACAAATTTACAACTTTTCTAAATAAGAGAATTTCCTATTTTTTTCTTGACAATTTCTGAAATGAATCTCAACATTTTTAAGATTTGCTCTTTTTTCATGAGCAAATGGCCGTAACCCCGTATGATGCATGTCCAGGACGTTTCCCAGCTCACCTACCCACAGTGAGGTCATCCAGCTCCGGCAGCACCGGCAGGGTCCAGCCAATGGAGCTGAGGAGAGCCGTCAGCTGACCCATGTTAGCAAGCGGTTCCACCCTGACCACCTGCAAGACAAAACGTCCTGGTTAGGTAAAGAGACGACTCGTCCTGACTCCTGCCCCTCTGACAGTAACTAACAGGTTGACAACAGGTACGTCCTGACCGTTAAAGATGGCCGCCACAGCTAAAGGAGCTGATCAAACAGACCAGTTTCAGACCCTGTTGTTAGCAAAATATAAACCAGTGAACATGTTTTAATTTAACTGAGACACCCTGTTCTACCTGAGACCTTCTGTCCTACCTGAGACCCTCTGTTCTACCTGAGACCTTCTGTTCTACCTGAGACCTTCTGTCCTACCTGAGACCTTCTATCCTACCTGAGACCCTCTGTCCTACCTGAGACCCTCTGTTCTACCTGAGACCCTCTGTCCTACCTGAGACCCTCTGTCCTACCTGAGACCCTCTGTTCTACCTGAGACCCTCTGTCCTACCTGAGGCACTCTGTCCTATCTGAGACCCTCTGTTCTACCTGAGACCTTCTGTTCTACCTGAGACCCTCTGTTCTACCTGAGACCCTCTGTTCTACCTGAGACCCTCTGTCCTACCTGAGACCTTCTGTTCTACCTGAGACCCTCTGTCCTACCTGAGACCCTCTGTCCTACCTGAGACCATCTGTTCTACCTGAGACCCACTGTCC